ACTGATCATAGGACAGCGCTGAATTTGTGCTGCGTTCAAGGTACTGTTACAACCTCATGTAAACTATAGCTGACAGCGTGAATTTGAATCGAATAAATAATTACGTTAATTGTAAAATTACTTGCACAGGACGCGGACTCCATTTTAATTGTTTATTTCAGTTTATTGATCGCCATCAAGGCATCACTATTTGAAAAACCGATGACACAATCCCCGATAATCCGCCGTGGAGATCTGATGTGAGGAGCTCTTGAACGCAGCGTCGCACCGGATGTGACCCGAATTTTACGTTGACGTCTCCAGTGTTTTTAAAAAAGCGGCGGTTGCTCCTCCACCTTCTCATGAACCACTCGCCTCAGATTCTCTGGCTCAGCTCTTCAGAATAATCACACAACGTAAGTGCGTTGTTATTTCCCCCGCTTCGGACGATGCGGAAGCTCTTTACCGGACGATCGATCCTCACAGCGAAGCGGCCAAACGCCATTTTTGTTGAGGAAAGCTCAGCTAGCATAGGTCGGCTAATGCTAACCACCCGCAGCTAAGTGTGTTAGCTAAACAGCGAGGTGCAAAGCTAATGCGTGTGGTGCTGTTGTTGTTGCGATGCAGACTCGCGGTGCCTGTGTTTCCTGCACAACTTGATCATTGTCAAAACGTATTTTAGAGAATCAATCTTACTTTTGAGAAGTCGACATTTAAACTTTATTGTGAGCTGATAGACTCTTGTTTTACTTCCACTTTATTAACTTACTTGTGTAGTTTTTGGCAAAACAGAGATTAGAATTGATTAGTTGCAAGTAATAAGAAAATCAGCTGTTTATAAGTGTTGTTAGACTCTTAATGTCAGGCTCTTATTTTGAAATGTTTATACAAAATGTTATAGAATTGTAAATCCTGCTACTTGGTACAAGCCTGTCTGTCTGTGCAGGTCAGTTTTACCCTGTAATGAATATTTTGTTTGTTAATGCTGTTGTTTTCTGTCTTTACGCAGGATCCTGGTGCTTTACAGTGAAGCTGTGAGCTCCTTCTCTGCCCCAGGATCATGCACCAGCAGCAGTACACAGAGGAGAGAGGCCTTCTGGGAAAACTGTGTCCTGGGGACAAGAAGCTGGAGGGGAAGAACTTCTACCTGGACAATGTGAAGAAACGCGCAACAGCTTTGCTTTTGGAGGCCATATCTCTATTAGGAGGGGTGAGCTCGTGAGAAGATTGTGCACCTGTCTGATCTAATGATTTTCACCAATGTTGCAAACCTGCAGAGGCCTCGCTATTTGGACAAAAACTTCAAAATCATTTCACATATCACAAAGGTCATAGCTTTGTCTCATTATGTTATGAAGTCTCTAGAATATAACATTTGAAAATTAGCAGTCAACAGAGCTGATCTCATTTATTGTACTTTACCTGCTGTACTAAAGAGTATCAATCAATTTCAAAACAGCAATGACATTATTTGCACTTCTGAATAAGTATTCAACAGATTCCACAGAGTGCATTTGAGAAATGACCAATCTGACAACTCATATTGATTTCTAAAGTTAAACTTTTCAACATTAAAGTAGAAACTAATGAGTCAATGTCTGTTTTTCCTCCTGCTGAAGAAAATCGAGAGTTTTCTACACAAGGATGTGAACTTTGTTGTGACCGGAAGCCAAGAGGGTCTGCAAGAGGAGAGGAGTGTGGTGACCAATGGACGGGCAAAGGGAACAAATGAAGAAACCCAACATCCAAACAGTAAACGGAGTCAGAGTGTCCTCAGCAGCGAGAAACAGCCACCGGGAACTCCTCGACCGATGGTACTGAACATCAGGCATATGTGTCTAAAACTTTTCACAGCCACTGATCAAGCTCACAGGGGTGTTGAAATTCAATACTTTAATATTATTAAAGGGGATTTAAGCTGATAATTGCAAATGAAATATATTACACATAAAATACTGCTGTTTAAGATACAAACAAATGAATAGTGTGAATAGTGTATAACATGTGTATTGATACCAATGATTCAACATCCATATAATTAAATAATATGGTGTATGTTATAAAATATTGTATATAGACACATGTAGTGAATATCTGTGCTGTATTTGTATTTTCAGGCTTGTGGCAGCCGGGGGAAAGCTCTGCTTGAAAAAGCCATTCGCAACAATGTAAGTCAAAATAGCCCAAACCGGTTTTAATCTAATAGATCTTCAGATTTTATCTAATTTTTCTGGGTATTAGTGATATTATACTGAAGAGAGACGTAGTTTGTTATTTTTATTCTAATGATTCTGTGTTGTAGGAGCGACTGAAGAGGAGCAGTGTTCTGGCCAGTGCCCGATCGTGGGGAGTGAAGATTTTGTTTGTGGATGGTATCCTAACTTGAAAATAACCACAGAGGGGTTCCACATAAGAGAGTAAAATGTGAACAGCATTTGCCATGTGTGTGTTCGCATATGTAGTGCTGTGAGGTGCTTCTCGCAGCAGGTGGCACCATACAAGTGTTTTTGTTCTTACTGATGTTACTTGCATCTGTGCCTAATACAAACTGAAGAAGTCTTTTGTGTGTACCAACACTGAACTGTCACATTCTTAAAGCACAGAACAGTGTTCGTATTGTTCCTTAATGTGGTGTCAGATGTGGTTTTGTATCTGAAACAACTGACTCGAGAGAGTTTCAGCGTGAAGCACAAGAAACCCGAGGTAAGATTTCACTTCAAAAACGTCCAGACGTAACAGTTCAGTAGAAAGAAATCAAGTAAGTGAATCGATAAAAGGCAGAAGGTCTTAAAGGTGTCCAATCAAATAAGCTTCCATGAAAAGGAGTAATGAATAAGTAATATAAAAACTACTATGACATAATGCACATCTGCATTTGTTCCTTAATATCTTTCCCTTTTTTTAATGCAGCGGACCTACACCAAACCACAAGGTTCCCATGTTGTCAAAGGTTGGTTTATGTTTTGTGTTTATTTTCCAATTATTCTGTGTTTCTGTTGGTGTAAGTGTTCAAATTCATTTGATTGTTTTTTCTGTTCCTGGCACACAGCTGCAGCTTTGAGGTCTCCATACCTTAAAATAGAAGACTCCAGCAGGTGAGTTTCATTCGGTGAAGTTTCTGTTTGTTTATCTTCTTCCAGGAAAGCAGTAGGATTTGAATTCGAGTGCAAAGTTAAAGAGGAGAAATCCCTCAAAGTGACCCATCCAATCCTTTGTTTATGATTCCAGTCAATCGAGCTGGAAGTCAGCAGAGGGGGTTGTGTTTTAGGTCTGTCTCATTCCATATAATGGTTGTTTAGCATCAGATTAATTCCTTTTTTTGCAGTTGAAGAATAGTGACAGTGAAACTACAATGACCTGTCTCTGTATCTGCCCATCACACCCCACTGGGTGCTAGTTGTGGCGGTTTCCATTTCAGCCCAGATGATTTTCCTAATTGAACCTGTTAAGAAGTCCTATCATGTAATGTGACGAGGCCCCCTGCCCTCCAGTGATGCTGCCCCCCAGGAGCCTTGCGCTCAAGCGGATACGATGTCTATTTGATGAGACTTTGCAGGCTTCACTGCCAGTTCCTTCTGGGGATCTCTCTCTGTGTTAACAGGTCTTTTCATTTGCCCTCTCATTTCAGTTAATTGAAGTGCTCTGGCTAATGTATAGACCCTGGCAATGAGAAACTGAACTTATAACATCTGAAAGGGTTGAATAGCAGGACTAATTTAAGATGTGTAATCTAATTTGCAGAGTTGCAAGGTATGAAATATAACCCATGTCAGAATTTGATAAGAAGAATAGTCATAATAATATTATGTATATATTCAAATATGCAGTCTTGTATTGTTTATCTTTTATTTTCCACACTAAATTCTGTTGTTTTGTCATCTAACCAGGAAATACAAACCCTTGCATATACAGTCTATGATCTTCCCATCGCTTTGCTACTTGGGCCGATTTAGTCCCTTTGAATCTCCTCCTCCTCTATTTGGAAATCAAACAGAAGAAAGTAAAACAAGGTTTGTTCAACTGTGCCAGAGTCAATATTTGAGTGCTAGTTTGATTCTCACCTGGAATATAAAAGAAAACATATAGACTGTTAAATGCTGTAAAAACAATGTCTGTTATAATAGTAACTGATTTCTCACAATTGTTTATTCTTTGTTAATTAGGGAGAAGAAAAAAGTTGAAAGCAGCATTCAGGACAAATCCCAAACCCCGCTCAACTGTAACCCTGCACCGTGGCGTCCACGCAAAAAGGAAACATCGTACTGTGAATGCTGTCATCAACCCTTCACTAATCTGGAGGAGGTGGAAATCTTTTGACTCTTGTCTCATTGGTATTTGATAGATTTGCAATCACTGTGTAGACAGTCTTTGACATAATCTTTGATCGGGTCTTTGCAGCACTTACAGTCTGATCAGCACCGTATGTTTGTGCTGGATCCCTCCAACTACAGTGTGGTTGATCAACTTGTGGCTGAAATGCTTCCAGGATTCAACCCTAGTCCACCTGAACAATCAGAAGAAACAGAGTGAGTTTGATGATTACTTGTTGGAATGCAGGAATACTTTTGCTATTTGGTTTTCCAGTAGAAAAACAGTGTTTTTCTATATTTTTACTGTTTTTCATGTCTTTCTCCTAGACCACCAAGTCTGCAGCTCATCCAGGACGTCTGTGAACTGGAGCCTCTCACTGATGGCGAGACGGAACGTGCCATTCAGGCCCTGCGCAAACAAAGTTTATCGTTCGATACCAACATCTCCGGCCTCCCATCACTAGGAGTTCAGTTTCCCATCGCAAATCCAGCCACACCACCTGTTGACATCCAGTCTCCCACTCCTACAGAGTGCCAGCTCCCGGATATCCAGCTCCACGCTTTGAGTCCCGCCATGCCTCTATTGGATGTTGAACCACAAGCCCACGCCTCACCCAGCCAGCAGCCACCCCCCTGCCCTGATACCCCATCTCCATCTCTTGACCCTTACTCTCTGCCCCCAGTCCTCAGTCCTCAAATCCCTTCCTGCATTATGGAACTGCACAGCTCGTACTCCGAGCCGCCTGTCCTCAGTCCTCAACAGTACATCGCAGAGGAAACCATGGAAGTTAGTGAAATGGATACTGCTGAGAGTTTGTCGGAGTCTGTCTCAGTTCCCATCGCCATCTCCCGTCTTCCCGCTGCACCTGAGACAAATGCAGAAGTGAAGGGAGATGATCGTTTCGCACTCAGTGGAATCTTATTTTCTAGCAGTGATAAACTGGCCTCATGTCGATCGCTGCCTCGACTTTCAGCTACAACTCCAAACCCCAAAAAACGCTGTCGATCAGTCAGCCCTAAATGTCGCCGCAGCAAAAGGAGTAAAATTACTAGGAAATGTAACTGGACTGAACAAGGACATGAATCCATAAAACCAGAAAGGGACATAATGGCAAAGTGTGGGGGCTATTCATTATTTGACAATGCCTCGTGTCAGATAACACAGTGTCCTCAACAACACGTCTCTTCTACATGCACTGTGGAAACACGTGATTTAACAACAATTTGTTTTTCCACTGTGCAGAATTTACCATGGGAACCAAGTCAAACTGACATTTTGGGTCATGATAATGCATCTGTAACTACTCCTTCAAAACCAAAGACTTTTGAACCACAGCTTCAGCCTCCCTATGAAAAATCTCACAGTGCGTTTTCCAGCCAAGACTCTCAGCGCTCACTATCCCACTCTACCTCAGTGTGCATCGAGTCGGCCCTCATCCCAGACTTTGCTGCGCTCTCTCCATCGTCATCTGACTCTGACTGGGACTGTGACCTGCTGTCACGGCTGGGCCCGACCTCAGCGACACCTCTTTTGCCCTCTGAGCAGAGCTGCGAGCTCGACAAGGAGCTCCTCCATAAGCCGTGAGTCACGTCTGCACACGGCCCTCCAGCCGGCGACCCCTACAACCTCACTGTGTGGGGAGGAAATGGACCCATCAGTGTTTTCCAGGACTGTGGTACAGATTGTTCAAGTTCAGCACTGACTATTAATTAGGTGATTGTTTCAGAAAACTAGAAGAACTACTACTGGCAGCAGTAAGTGTTGGACTTTGCGGCTGCTTATTCCACCTTAAGAAACAATGTGCAGCACTTAAGCTCTTCAGAATAAACCACTGACGTGTACATTCAATAAATATTTAAAATTTAGTGCAAACTAAAAGGTAATGCTCAACTGTTTTTAGGTCATGCACATTTTTATTATTTGTTGTAGTAGATGCATAGTGGATGCTGAATTTAAAGAGCTTACATTATCATGCTTACTCTCAACCCGTAATTCTCCTTGTGCACAGAACCTAAGCAATTTCTGTATGTTGTGCTGACTGCTGTGTTTCAGCAGCTATGTCCGGGAACACACGGTGGTACTGAGAATTTAATGAGGCTTTTCTGAATGGGGGCATTACTCAATTACTGTAAGTGCTGCATCTGGAACAGATCCCGATTGCACCAGCGTAGATGGTCAAACGGGCGAGGCGTTGGTGGAGTGGAGGCCTCGCACAAGGTGCAAGACAAACTGTCTGATTAATGTCAAACGACTTTTCCTCCCTTCTGAAGGTGGGCCAAAGAACCTGTTTGGCTGTAGAGCACTGCAGCTGCAGGAGCTTTTTATCTTCACTTCTCAGTTTGAGAAATTTAAGGTTAGTTGCCATTAAAGACTCACCACAGCTCATCATTGCAGAAAAAACCCTGTCACCTAGTGCTCATGGGAAAATGTGAAGTGAAATCTTGTGCAGTGTTTTTAAATAAATGTTTTTAACCTTAAACATTTCCTGCTGCGTGTTTCAGAACAAGTTGTTGCTTTAGGACGTGTGCAGCTGTGCCGAACATATTTCTTCTTGTCAGTAAATGCTGATGGTGCTCCTCGCGTAAGGGAGGCAAGGATGGAGCAAGGTCAACAGTGGGTCGACGTGTCCTGTTTGGCTCATCATCCCAGCGTCCAGCTGACACAGACAATATTTGATATCTAATCTTGGTGCTGTGTTGCGTAACCTCTTAACTTTCTAGATTTGTGGAATGACAGGATCCTTTGTTGTGAGCAGCACTGGACAAAACTACAGCTGCTTGTCACAGGAGGAGAGAGAACAACAACACCCTTTAACTTGGGAGACTTTCTGGCTGTTGTGTTCTGAATAGACTTTGTTGATAAGTAGAGAGGAGTGTGGGGAAGTACGTCTGCTGAGGGTGTAGTTGCCAACAGGGAGTTGAGTGTTTGTGAGATACAAAGCTCAAAATCTCAAATATTCTGGTCAAAAGAACTTGGCTCCTCTGCCCACAGACTCCCGTTTGACAATGATGGCTTGCAGTGGAACGTCTGTGTTGATGCTTTATAGTCTGTAGCAGAGAATCAGATATATTTTCAAATTAATACATTGTTCAAAATCTCAAGCTTGTTGGTCATCTTCTGAGACGAGGAGTGGGTGGAGAGTTTCCCTCTGTCAGGGGATCGACAATGGGAGATTATATGATGGCCATGTTGAGAAAGACCTCAAATTTGGAACAATTGTTCACTTGGACTCAAAGATGAACTGATAAGATGATGGGGGTCAAAGGTCACACTGACCTCATGTCAATCATGAAGATAATGTATGAAGAATGAAACTGCACTGGTTGGTGGGGGGGACAGTAGTTCTTGTTTTGGTATAATTCCAATTAACTCCAAACATCCTCATACTGTTCGAACCCTCGGTTGGGACATATTTGTTCTTGTGAGGGTCATTTTGAGCATAGACCCGTTGTGGTGTGAATGTGGTGAGGAAACCAACAATTGCACTGAATTATTGTAATCAAAGCGTTTAATACTGATCAAAGCAAATCGATCTACGATCACGCAGCCTGCAACCTGCTGCACGGAGGACGAGGTGGACATGGATCTCTCTCTCCTAAGTGTATGAACTCTGCGTATTTCACTGGTTTATCCAACTCACAGATCACAACCATTCCCTGAGATAACACTCAAGCAATCATTCCTGGTAGAGCTTAATGCTGATTCAGGCTATTTGAACTGACCTCGCTGAGCGTATTCATGCCAAACAGCTACATCTAAAAATGTCCATTGCAAAAGTGAGGACATTTTGGTCAGTCCTCACTCAAAGGGATGTTTGAGGGTTAAGACTTTTAGGGCAAGAGTTATCCCATCTTCCATCATTGTGAGGATATTTGGATGATCCTCACAAATTCAAAGGCTTAAACACTTGGTTCCTTGGGGTTATGGTAGATGTTAAGGTTATAATCAGGTGTTAGAGTTATAATTAGGTTTAGGTTAGGGTTGCGTTCAGTTGTGATGGTTAAGATGAGAGAGAGAGAGAGAGAGAGAGAGAGAGAGAGCGGAGGAGTTCAGTGCCACCGACACACACCACGCTGCTGGAGCCGAGAGCAGGAGCCTCATCAACGGGAGCTTTCACTCGCTGTAGGCGGAGAGGGATGTGAGAGATGCGGGCTCCGCGCTGGACGGACCCCCCGCTGTTGTGTTTGTCCTCTCGGTGATCGTCAGTCCCGCACCCGCCGCCGCCGCTGCTGCAGCTCCGCTCCCGGCTCCCCTCGGTTCACTTAACGGAGCAGCCCCGGAGGAGAAATCACAGGGACTATGTGAGCATCATGCTCGCCGTGAGATGCCTGCTGTTCGCCGCAGTGTGTGCACGGTGCGCCGCGACAGGTAAGAGGCTCCAGGGTTCAGTTTGACCCGGAGGAAGCTGCGCGTTTTCTGTCATGTCGTGTTATTGCGGCCGCTCGACACATCGACCAGCACCGTGCGATTGTTGCATCGGCGTCAACAAGCGTCTCTTCGTCGGCTCAAAAAGCAGAAATAATAGATGTTAACATCCAGTCAGATCCCCCCTCCAGTGCACTGATCCTCCCCCGGTGTCCTCTGCAGGTCTGCCGCCTGCACAGGAGCTCGTTCAGCCCAGGCGGCTCCTGCAACAGATCCACTCCCCGGAGGAGCTGCTCCACAGCCGCCTGGACACCCGGGTCAGGAACCACACTTCCAGGGTACAGGTGAGCGTCTCCCGCACCTGGGACTGGTGTTAATCATCCACTCATCCTCCAGCACTGTGATCACAACGAACCCCTTCATTTATTATCAGTTTGTGCACATATCACCGAGATCAGGGTTCCTGCAGCATCTCCAGGACAGGGGCTTTAAACATCTGGATTCATTCACCTTCTGATAAATGGCTGGGTTCCTTCACACAAAATGAGATGATGAGGATTTCCAATCTGTTAAACTCTTCAGGGATTCTCCGCTTAGTGAAAAATCGATTTGTTCCATCAAAGACGGTGGAGAGATTACAGAAGCTGTGTCGTTTGAGGAGATATGTTCCTCTTTCTTTATTACAACATTACCAATTTAAATATTTTTAGTTGCAACCTTTCATAGATAGTTTTGGCCCTTAAATATTTTTTTCTACTACTTGCACAATGTGGAGTTATGCAGCTATGGTACGGCCACTTGATATAGATCTGTCCTGGCTTTAATATTTACTGCACAGATGTAAAAACTTTTAAATTAAAGAAAGCTCACATTTTACATAAACAATGTTTATGTTCTCTACTAATGCTCTAAACAGTTGGTTGTATTTGTGTTTACTTTTTTTTATAGTAATTTATAATACAGTTTATGGCTTCAATTGCATTTCCTTGTCATAAGGGTTTTGTAACTGTTTACAAATCAGTATACAAGCATCTGTCACCAAATATCCATATTGGTCTCACCGTAACTGCCACATTATTATCTATATTATTAAAAATTATACTGTATGTTCCCATTTTGTTCCGAATGTAATTTTTCCAATGCCCACTCTTTAACCATAAAATAAAACAAGAACAATATGCAAACAACAATATCCATGATGTGAGAAAGAAATCATGTAATAAATACAAATGCATATTAAAGGAAAACAGAGACTTTGGTATATAATCAAAAATGTACCATCAGAGAGCTGACAGCCTTTTCTTGTTCTCTGCTTCATCTGATGTCACCCCCACATCACCGTGTGACACCTCCTCATGATGCTCAGCTTACTCATGGCAGAAAAACACCTCAGCCCACCCCTCACCTCTGCCATCTGCTCCACCTCTCCACCCTGTTAGATTATATTTCATACCTCCACCTGTCCTCTCTCATTACCTTCGCTATAAAACACTATCTGTCAGTGGATATGACACGGCTCGGACCTTGAGCTGCCCTCTGTGGTCAGCAGGTTGTCTCGTGACCTTTCCGTCTTATCTGAGACTGGAGGATGTTTGCAGCCTAAGTGCTGTCATGTAATGTGAATTTAGACGTGAGGTTGAAACTGTTCAGCGTTTGTCTTTAAAACTAAATTTAAAACAAAACTCACCCAAGAATACAAAGATTATCGTCTGGAAGGATTCGACATTGAGAGTAGTTAAAGGTGGGTTTATTTGGTTTGTCAATAGAACAGGAATAAGTCAGATTCAAAGCAGCCATAATTAATATTTTGGTTTTAGCCATGGATCAATTGACTGTGTGTAATGTGAAACGTGTTGCTTACAAATCCACAGGGATTTATTTTTCAGTGTCTTTCAGCTCTTTGTTTCCTCCACCAAGGAGATTATGTTTTCATCGTCACGACACATTAATGGACAGATCACCATGACACTTGGTGGAATGGTGCAGTATGGGTCAGAGAAGAATCTACTGCATTTTTGTGGATCAAAGGGAGGACCCAGGAATTATTTTTTACTTTCACAAGCATCGGGGCGTCGGGAAGTGCTACCCCTCACCTGAATGTTCCACAAATGTAACGTTGTTGTGAACGCATCTGACCCGAACCGTTAAAATCTTCACAGTGTTTTCATGCAGTTTTCTTCTCTTCCCTCATGAGGGCTATTGTGGGTTTTTTTTATTGTC